TTTGGTCAAGATGAGCCCCTGAATTGCTCTGATCTGTTCTCCAGAGGACTGGCTTCACTACATCACCATGGATCAAGAGAGGATAGATGCAGTGAGGAAATGAGAGAGGCCCTTTGACACTTTACAGCAGAAGGAATTTGACCAGCCATAGTTCATTGGGACTGGAAAAAAAAAATCAAACTTGCTAATGAAGTCCTGCAGAAAACCAAGCGCATAACAAAGGGAGGCAATTTGCAAACTTCTGTGTCAAAAACCCTGTGTGAAAAAAAAGGCCATGACAATCAGATGTTTTCAGCTGTTAAGGAATTCCCTCTACTAACAACGTGCTGTCTACAACATATAGTCAATCAGCTGGAATTCCCTCTGGAAGCGGCCAGTCATCTGTCCAATTCCCCCCCTTTTTCTCCTGACCCTTTGGTCCACCAGCATCACACCAGGGCATAATCCAGTCCAGAGCAGAAAAGCTGGACTAGTTTTTGTTTGGATTTTCAAACCATAATTTCAAAGTTGTCCAATGAAAAGAGAAGCTTAAACCTGGACTAGATCCATAGCTAGAGTCCCTTGCTGTTGATCTCCTTAGACCTATTAGGAGCATTTTCTTCCCTAATGTGGCTGCAATGTATCAGCATTTGCATATATTAATCCCCGGATAGACCCCATATTATACACTTATTAATTGCCTTTATGAGGATATTGCTGTATTATTGCGTGCTAGTCTTCCTTTCCTAATTGCTTTTAATTACACTTGCTTTATCCCATGTTTATTACCACACAGACACTAATTTGCCATTATTGGTAGCATCCACTTAGACAGAGGAGGGCAGCTCCGTTAATGAGGTGCCCCCCCCACCACCATCATTAATAAAGAGGGAAGTGTTCCTTTCACAAATAATGCCTTCATCGGAGGGTCTGGAACAGCGTACGGCAGCTTCCCCCACCCCCAAAGCCTGGCGGTCTCTAAAGGTGCTGTGTTACAAATCCCATCATCCACCCTCTAGCTACCTGGGGTCGATGGGAGCTGTAGTCCGGCTCAGTCTGGAAGGCACCGAGTTAGGGAAGCTTGGTTTGTGGCTTCTTAGTGAGACACCCCTAATGGCCCAGTAGAGGGCAGCAGTGCCCCTAAGAAGAAGTGCCACTCACTGGCCCTCTCCTTTCAGCTTTTGCAAAGGGCTCCATCACTGGCTTAGGAGCAGGGGAAGAAGGCAGGGAAAGACAATCGGTCTCCCGCTGTTGATATTTGGGGGATCTATCTGGCTGCCTTGCCAAATAAAACTACTTGCTGATCCTTCAGGTGCAAAGCCAGCTGCAAGCTAAAAATGACCTCTTGCACCCCAATGTTATGCTTACATCAGAGGACGTATCGTTTCCACGCCTGGGGTACTTCTGCTGCCTTTCAAATCAGCCCCTGGCTCCTGGCTAAGGTTCTTTCCCTGTGCAAGCTGCCCTCCCATTACTTTCACTCTCTTGTTGGTCCGCATCTGGCCATTAACATTCTCCATTTACCGCTTTGCCGCACGTCCCCCTCGTACGCTGGGGCCACGTGTCACATACACTCCCTGCCCGCAGGATATATGTTTCTGGGCTCCACAGCATTCTTCTTCACACCATAATGCATGCTGGTTGTTGTGGGTTTTTCGGGTTCTTTGGCCATGTTCTGAAGGTTGTTCTTCCTGACGTTTCGCCCGTCTCTGTGGCCGGCATGGACAGAGTTCCGACTCCTGTCCTCTGCTAAGAGGCCGGCCACAGAGACGGGCAAAACATCAGGAGAAACAACCTTCAGAACACGGCCAAAGAGCCCAAAAAACCCACAACAACCATTAGATCCCGGCCACAAAAGCTTTCGCAAATACATAATGCATGCTCTTTTTTTCTTTAAAAGGTTTCTTTGATGCCCCCCTTGTCTAGGAAGTCTAGGAAGCCGAAGAGAACCCCAGAATGTCTTCTTAGTGGGTGCAAAACTGCTATAACCATGTAGTCTAGCTATGTTCCACCACTTTTAGAGGGGGCCCATTCCACTGTCAAGTGACTGTTGCCATTGGGAATCGATTTAGATGAAATTTGTTTTCTCATAATTTGAATCAGCTGGTTCACGTCCCATACTCTGGAGTAGCCGAACACGCAGGCTGGTCTCCATCTTCTGCAGGAGGTCCCTGCGGGTGTCAGAAGACGGTTAGTGTGCTATCTTTTTTTTTTTGCTTTCTTCCCTCCAGGCTGAACAGAGCCCAATCTATAAAAAAATACTGCAATGCATTAACAACCCTTCATTAACAACGAAGGTAAAAAAAAATAGTCAGGAAAATGTGTGCATAAACAAGCAAGTTTGCAACAGACAGATGATGCCCCCTCCACCTGCCATTAGCAGCCCCTCTCATCTTGACATAGAGATCATTCCTCCTAGTGGGTGCCACAGCAGAGAAGCCCCAGCACTGCATTGCAACCCACTGAGCCGCACTAGGTGTACAAGAATCATAATGAGTGGGTAATCAATATTGCGAAACAGACGATCTCTGAAATTGCTCGGCCTAATATTGTTCAGAGCTTTGTAAATGACATGAGACATCTTGAGTCTGGTTTGATAGCACAGGCATTACTCCAAAGACTGCAATCTAAAGGAGGGAGGAATCCGCTTCTGTTTGGACACGAGCTCTCTCCAAGGTGCTGAAGCCAACTCCATCCACCCCATAGGTTCAGCAGCACAGGTAACGCCTTTGGACTCAAATCAAACATGGGGTCAACACCTCTCATGAACTCAGACTCACCCTCTTCCACTTGGCAGCCACCCCACCCCACAGCCCCTGACACTCTCGGCCACAACTTGGAAGAAACTTCTTACTCATGACTGCGTATCTGTTCTTTGTTTCTTTCCCAATAACCAAGGTGTGAATATATTACTTTGAGATTGGTCCTTTGAGGAAGGATAACACCATTCCTTTTATAATGTGTTTCTTAACTGTAGCAGTAACTTTTTCAAGTTATGGGGTGTGCGGCTTCACTAAGAGTGCATCTACATTGCACAATGATACTGATTTGACACCGGTTTCGCTGGCGCAGCATCACATTGAGAGATTATGAAATGAATTAATTTTTGTTTCTTAATTAATTAATAGGCTGACGGTGCAGTTATCAAAGGCAACCTGTTAAAAGGCATGTCTTAAATGTAACGTCTAATTGCATCACCCATTACAGAGGCAGATTTGTGTGTTGTGTGTGTTTTTGGCCAGATGCCTCACAGCAGTGCTGCTTGGCGTTGCCCCCCCCAGCTCCTGATTCAAAGTGTGTTTCATTGATCATGATTTCTTATGTTAATTTAGTTGTCATGGTTCCACTAGATGTGATTCAGGGAAGGTATGCCCACCCGTTCCGAACCCAGCATGGAGGAAGGAACTGTAAGCTCCTGCCGGGATCCAGAAGGCTGATCCCAAGCCCAAGTCCACACTGTGCCCAACCATGGATTCTCAGGGGGCCAGGATGTTGAATCTTAGATGAGAACATCTCTGTATCTGTGCCAGAGAAGGAGGCCGAAAAGCCCTCCACCCCTTACTACAGAATGAAGACATGGGCCTTGGTTAGAAGCCCACAGTGTCGGCTGTGGAGGGGTTACTTTCAGGAAAGGGCTCCTTAAGAGTAGGGGTCTCCTTGAGGGAAAGCTCTTCCTCCCAAGGAGACCAGGGGACCAAATCCTGCAGTGGAGTTCCTTTCAGGTGACTAAATACCTTCACCTGAGCTCTCGGTGAGATTCAAGCAGCTCTGCTACATGAGCCGTGATCCAGTGGTTCCCCACCTTGGGGCTCCAAAAGGTTCTTGGACTATAACTCCCAGAAATCCTGGCCAGTGCAGCTAGTGGTGAAGGCTTCTGGGAGTTGTAGTCCAAGAACCCCGGTAGGGAACCACTGCCTTAATCTGATAGCAAGGATGTTTCATTTAGGTCCTCTTGACCTGACCTGCTTTGTGTGGGGAACCACTGCCTTAATCTGATAGCAAGAGCTTTGCCGGAAAGGATGTTTCGTTTAGGTCCTCTTGACCTGACCTGCTTTGTATTCCGTTCCATGACTTCCAGACTCTTCCTCTTCCTTTCCTGTTATCACTGGACTGGTTTGGACTTTGGGGTCCCTCCCATTGATTTCCCTGGTTCTCTGGTAGGACTCGATTTGCCCGTCTCCTGCTTCTGAACAACCTTCCTCAGAACAATCTCTTCTCTTTGTGGGACAGCTTCTCAAGACCTTGTTCCTAGAACCAGTTTCGAAGCATGTTCTAAGGATGAAACAAAGAAGGTGGGTGGCAAACCTTGGTCGAGCTCTTGTGTAATGTGTGAATGCTTGGCTTTTCCACTCAATCACTAACTCATGGATCCCGGTTTTCTATTGCTGGCCGGCGGCAAACCGTGTGACCTGTGAATCTTGTCCCTCATTCTCAAACATGGATTGTAACTTTGTAAGGTCATGGCCAACTGGGGTTCAACCTCCGTGCAATGTGTGAACGGTCGACTCTTCCTCTCAAACCCACATCCATAGACTGTAGCGCTATCCTGCCGGTTGGTAGGCTCCCCCTAACGTGTGAGAGGTGGGCCAGTGAGTTGGCTGTGTCTGCTTCACATTCCGACGTCTGGATGAATCTCAGAAGCTCTCTCCCTACACAGCTGCCGCCCCCCCCCCTCCAGGTCCTCTGGGTTCCCAAGCCCTGATGCATCCAGGGCCTCCTTAAAGCTTGGGCCCCTGTAGCGCTATCCTGCCGGTTGGTAGGCTCCCCCTAACGTGTGAGAGGTGGGCCAGTGAGTTGGCTGTGTCTGCTTCACATTCCGACGTCTGGATGAATCTCAGAAGCTCTCTCCCTACACAGCTGCCGCCCCCCCCCCTCCAGGTCCTCTGGGTTCCCAAGCCCTGATGCATCCAGGGCCTCCTTAAAGCTTGGGCCCTCCTGCCCACCCCACCCCCNGCGAGGACCCTGCAGGAGAGGAGTCAACGGCAGCCCAGCCTAGCCCTGCCTGCCCGCCTGCCGCTGGAAAGGGAAGGCGAGGCGGCGGCGGCAGCGGCAGCGGCAGCGGGAGGAGGAGGCAGCTGCGGGCCCGGGAGCGCATCCCTCTCCAAGGATGCCAGGCGGGGGTGGCTCTCCTTGCTCCGCAGCCTCCCGCCGTCTCCCGCAGCCCCGGCGCTGGGATCCGCTTGTGCACTAGTCCGAGGCGCGCACCCAGGGGAGTCGGGACCGAAGGGGGGCGCCTCCCCCCCACCTCCCCAAATCGCTGGCTCGCTGGCTCTCTTTTCGGTGGGCAGATCTGGAGAGTTGCCCCCCCCGCTCCGCCTGGTGCGCAATTGACCAAGGAACTTGGGGCGCGTTATTGCAACTTGCATGGAGGTGTTTGCAGCCGCGGGACTTGAACAACCGCTTCGCCTCGGACTCGCCTCCCGTCCCTCGCTTTTTGCCCGGGGTTCGTTTTTCCAGCACCCCCTTCCCCCGAGGCAAGGCATGGCAAACTTCGGCTCGCTCGCTGCTTCCTCCTGGAAGAAGGTCTTGAAGTCCTGCTGAGCAAAGATCAGGTAAGGAACGAGCAAGGAAAAGAGAGAGAAATGGGGGGGGGGTCCCTTCTCTGTCTTTGGAGGGGAGGCGAGGCTGGACGCCTCGCTTTCACAGCGGATCGGTATGCCGGCGAGCTGCGCTGACACCCCCCCCTTTTTCCTGGCCCCCTCTCTCCCGGATTTTCCACCAGGAGCCCCGGGGGCAAGTTGGTTTCAGAGGAAGGATGCACGGATGCCTTCCGCGCCCCCCACACACACACACATCCGTCGCCTTAGCATCGTTCTAATCGGCTCTCTCTCCCCGCCCGGGTCGGTTGGCCCTCCTGCTTCCTGGCTTTTCAAGAGATGCCAGGGAACTCTCTCTGTGTGTGTGTGTGTGTGGGGGGCGGTTGGAGAGGAAGAAGAGAGAGAGAGAGAGAGAGAGACCCTTTTTTTTTCTGGGAGTGTGATGAGGGGGAAAAAAGCCGGGGAGCCTTTCAAGTTTGCTCTTAGCCAGCGGCTGGTGCTTGCCATGATAAAAATGCATTTTGCAAGAGGAGACGGAATGGAAGCCCCCCTCCCACCTCCAGCACGGAAGTTTTTTTGGGGGGTGCTGGTAGTTTTGCTGCGGGGGAGAGAAGGGGAATAAATGCACTCTTGCATGCTCCTCTCTCCGCTTTTGCGAAAGAGACAAGTGTCCGGAGCTTCCTCGTCTTTTCCTGCTTCTCTCTCTCTCTCTCTCTCTCTCTCTTATATGTATACTCTCATACTTAGAAAAGGGACAATTTCCACTTTGTTTTCATAAATAAGAAATGTGTACTCCTGCTCCTTGGAAATATTTCAGGTATTGTCAAATCCTCCTTTGACATAAACTGATGACACACCAAAGACTGAAGGGACTGAAAGGGAAATTGATACAGAAAACATAGAAGGGTTTTATATCTGACTGCCTGGGTGGATTTCCTGATGCCCAAAGAAGGCGCGCGGGGGAAGGAGAGAAA